TTTATTCGAAAATGTAAACTTATGGTGTTGAGCACATGTTTTAAAATACTTAAATATTTATAGTGGTGTAGTTAAAGCGTCATAAATTTATATAGTGAAAGAAAAAAACATATGTTCATGTTATCAATATTACTTTTTTATATAAAGTTCGGGGTATAAATATTACGGAGTACATATGAAAGTTTGGGGTGCTTAGATCACATCTCTTCAAAGTTTGGAATATTTAAATTATTTTTCCCTAAGTTTAATTGTTGTCGGATACTATTCAAAATTTACAATATTAAAATATCAATTTATTCTTGGTTTTGTAACCACAATATTTTTAATTTAAAGGTAAAGGAAAGAATTGTTTTTGAATGTCTTGGTAATGAAATTTGATCAAGTTTAATAGAATGGAGGGAGGAACAAACAAACATAAAGGACATTGATTTTCACGTTTTTAAATGTTTTTACGCTTTGCTTCATTTTATGTTATTCGCACACTATAATTTTAAAATAAGGATGTTTTTAATTAGACTAAAATTGTCTTGTCTGATATGTACTGGTCTGATCATTCGACCTGATCTTGTCTATTTTGTTCTGAAACGAAAATCAATCTAAATACAAATATCCTATTGTTTAGGTGAATCATTTTCACAGTTTGAATATTTAATACGTCCATTTCAACTCATTCGAATTTTCATTAATCATAATTGTTGGTGAATTACTTGGGTTATAATTTTTTGAAAGATAAGATAAGTAAAAATCAGAATAATCTTTTTTAAATTCATTTCATACCATACTTTAACCGTTTAACGGTATGACTAACCCATCAAATTTTCAAAAATCTCAATAATTTAAATTGTAACTTTACCCAACTTTAATTTAGGTTGTCAATTGGTTTTCTGCTATCTGAATCTCTGAATATTCTTGAAAGACTCCTCACAACATCAATAGTATCCTCCTCTTTTTTATCATTAAAAAATGATCTTAATCTTATGCACACCTTGTTCGGTTAAAAAATGAAGGCTCTTGATTGGACTCACTTTTATTATTAATTGTGACATTTTTTACGGGAAAAAATGGACCAAATTTTTCATGCTTTTGTTTTTAGATAGATGATTGAAAGATACAAAAACAAAATTAATCATGATATCTTAAATTTAGTACTTCAATTTCTTAAGAAAAAAATGGCTCTAAAAGCTCCGACAATTGAAACTTCATATTTTTTTTAAAAAAAATTATATATGCAATATTGATGTCATATAAAAGATAATAAAAAGTTAAAAGTTTTGATATTTTTTTGTGAAAAATGAAATAAAAATAAAAAGCTTATACCACTTTAAAAAATAAAAAAAGTTTTTTTTCACACTCATGCTTCATTGTGATCTACTGAACCAAAATAGTACGTGTGTCTATTATGGGCAATTTAATGTACTTGGGGCTAGGAAATGTATTATTCCAATGACCTTGGGATCCATAAAGTGAACCCCAATGCAAATTTTCCACTTCAAATCCAACTCATTACACCTAGTACACATCTTTGACCCATGATAGTGACATTTTTGGGCGGGAAAAATGACTAATTTTCTCTTCCTTTTGTATATAGATAGATATATACACATACGGAGTATTATTCTCTGACCTCCGCTCGTTCATTACATTGAAACATTTCGCATTATCAAGATAGTCATAAATAAATTCATTTTTATCTCATATACTAATGTATCTCGAAATATAAATATAGTTAATAAGTCATTAATTTAAAATAAAAAAAGAATCAAATTAGCAAAATTTTGAAATTAATGAGTCAAATGAGAAAGTCCATGTACTCAAATTTCTTGGATAATGGAGATAGAAAATACTATAATAAAAAACTAAAAGTTCTAGTACATCCTAGGTATATATTACTACTAGAGCTACTAATTTTCAAGGTAACGTCGTCTTCTAAAAAGACAGCTTCCAATTTTGGTTCATCGATGGAAAGGTTGGCAAACTCAAATACTCATATACCCTCCATGCTCCCCATAAAGTCATCTTCACCAACATCTCCCATTTTACTTATCGTCCATATACTTAGTTGTGTAATTTATTTTTAGTTTTTCATTTTTTAAAAGAATTTTATTATGTGAGTTTTTGGTATTTTAAAAAAAAATGATTCGTATATCCGTCAGGATACGGGTGTCCGAAATTTTAAATAATTGCCAAAAATGTTGGAAACTTTTGATAAATTACGGATACGCCCCGGGAACGTACGGTACGAGTATCCTAGAGTATCTGATACGCCGATACGATACCGTAGTGAAGTATTCGTGCTTCATAACATTCCACAAATGGGTGGGGCTAAGAAAATTAAAAAATCCCAAATTTATTTAATCTGTTATAACTTTTTTACTTATAGTCCAAGTTTTATAAAAAATATATCAGATTTTTTAATTTTTATGATCTTTCATATGACACCAATATTGTATATATAAAGTTTAAAAAATACAAATATGTATTTTTCAACAGTTGGAAATATTTATGTTCAAAATTTTTGTTAAGTAGATCCAAATGCTAAAATTAAGACTTCATGGTTAAGATAATTTTTTATATCTTTAAATTATTTTTCAAAAATACGTATAAATTAACAAGAAAATAAACTCCAAATTTATTTATTTTTACATCGAAATGTTTGACTTTAAAAATCATAACTATTCACAAATCGAATTGAGAAAAAATTGACGTGTAATAATAAAAGCAAGGTTTAATTAAGAATAAATTTGATGGTTGAATATATTAACGGTGTTGGATTGCAGTGAAAATGAATTGATTGACTGAATACGTATAAAGTGATGGGAAATTTGATTTATTGACGGAGTTGGATTGCGGTTAACCTAAGTAACGTAAAAATTAGCCCAAAAGAGAAATGGAATAAATAATAAGAATACTTCTAGAAAGGAATATTTTACAAGTAAATAATACGGAGTATATTATTAAAAAATTATTTGATGGTTGCTTTCGCGGCATTGTAATAAAATGGAATTTAACCTTCCCTAAAGAAAAAGTTTGTCCCGAATATCATGTCACTGAGAAGTGGTGGAGGAAAATAATGATTTAGATATCGGTCACCGGTTAATATGAGTAGTTGCAAGTTTTCTCAAATGGTTAGTTATGATAACGATTAAGTAAATAAAAAAGACAATAAAAGTAATAACAGAGAATTTAATTATACGACATTAACGAGGAACATCTAGCGAACATGAGAAATATTCGAGAAAAAAACTATTATTGAACTACCAAACTAGCGAGCATAGAATAAGAATTTTTTTGAATATAAAACACTAAAAGATAAATTAAGTAGCTAATTAGTAGTAACAATAAATTAACTTAATAAAAGTAGGATTTAGATTTGAAATCAAGATTTTGGGTGTATTTTATAATAAATAAATGGTAATAGGGTCAGATAGGCCCTTGTACTTACATAAAAAGGTCAAATAACCTCTTATATAGGATGTTCTGTCCAGCCGTCGTCATTTGGGATGCTTACCGGTGGAATTTTTTGATGAAATTTTTTGAGCTTCTTATTCATTAAGTCTAGTTTACTCATACCAAATTTTAGCTAAAACTTTATTCGAGAAAGCATTCAAATGAATTCTTGAAGATAACTGCACAATTAAAGAACACAGTTATATTCAAAAATTCATTTGAATGTCTTCCCAATTGAAGTTTTACCTTAAATTTGGTATAAGTACACTAGACTTAATTAATAAAATGCTCAAAAAATCATCATAAAATTCCACCCGGAACCGCCCCAAATGGAGACGGCCGGACAGAGCCTCCTATATAAGGGGTTATTTGACCTTTTTATGTAAGTACAAGGGCCTCTTTGACCCTTTTCCCTAAATAAATTTGGGAAAGTTACCCATCTAGGATAGTGATATATTAACTCGCATGTACAAGAAATTACTTTAATTCCCCTAGTTCTTGGCTTAGTTTAATATGCGTGAGATGTGATCTCAATTAATTTCAAACTCATATACTTCATATAAGAAAGAATTAAATTTTCAAAAGATCACAAGTGATGTGATCAATTTCAAAATTTACTCCTACAATTTCATCTCAAACATCTAGTCCAGAAAATTGGAGAAATTTCTCAAATCCAATTCAATTTTCAAGATTCAAGAACATCCATTAATCTTAAATAATCCAAATTCAAACCTCATGAAAATTTAGCCTACCCTAATTATAACAAAGTTAACACAATTAATTAAGGAGGAGGAACTACGGTACCTTATGGTCTGATGACTTCACTGTGTCACTTCCAAAGAGGAGGTCACAAGTTCGAAAGATTTGCCAAAAAAAAGATGAGGAGCTACAGTAATGGATAAACAATGAACATAACTCAAATATAAATTCGAAATAAGAATAGTTCAAGAAGAAAAATGAAAGTCTTCAAAATTAGAAATAATACAAGAAAAAAACTTAACCGCAAACCTTAAAAGTTTTTTTAGAATCGGTGATACATACTCCGTAGTATTTATTATGCTTGGTCTAGTCTGATCTGATATGATATAGTCTGGTCTAGTTTAATCTTATTTGTTTAAGTCTAATCTGGACTTTAGTGATATATACTACGTAGTATTTATTAATTTATAACGAACATTTAAGAGGACATTCAAAAGTAGAAGTATCCCATAGTTCATAGGTATAACGATATTTCATATTTACAACTTAATAAGCAGTTGTAATATATGGAGTAAGGGGGTGTTTGGAACTGATTCTGCTTCTGCTTCTTTTTTAAAGCAAAAGCAGAATCAGAATCAGTTTTCAGAAGCTGGTACCCCCAGCTTCTAAAAAAACTGATTCTAGGAGTAAATTAGAGCACCAGAATCACTTCTGCATTTTCACCCAAACACTCCAACTTCTGCTTCTGCTCCCTGAAGGAGCAAAAACAGTTTTAAGAATCAGATCCAAACACCCTCTAAAAGTTAAAAATTTACGATGGGACAAAGTTAACAATTTTTTTGCTGACATGAATTTCAATACCATAATAAATAATATGTGGTCAAAGTAGAATATAAGAATAGTGCAAATGTAAAACTATTGCAAGTAGTAAATAATCACTATATGATATACAAGAGTCTATATATATACATATATTATGTATTATTGTAACCAACTAACTAGTCTATATGTTGAGCTAAATTTGTGCCAGTAGCTTTCTCACTATCGGTTTCAACTTTGAATTTCCATTTTGTGCCAAGTCAACAAGCACCGGCTGAGCGGATACACCATGTTCCACTCTATATGCTTCAACCCTGAAAACTCCTTCCAATATCCAAAGAGCTTTCTCCTTAGCCTTACTGCTACCCACTTCAAGAACCTTGATTAGAGACTTAACGCCCCTTTTCACAACTAGATAATCACACCCATTCTCCCATATTTCGTCTTCCATAAGTGTCGCGATGCAGTTGAGAACAGCTTCGTCTGCTCCCCGTTCGTCTCCTTCAAGAATTTGTAGTAATGGTGTGACAGCCCCAGCCATGACAATGCAGAATGTGGATTTCACTGAGCAGTAGCCGTTGTGGACTTGGCAGAAGCCTTCAATGGATGGAGGGCCGCATGACCATTTTGATTTTCTCAATTTCCTTAGAGACAACGAATTCTGAGATAATTGAGCGAGGCATGTAGCTGCTCTCCGTTTGGCTAGTATCGAATCACATGAAAGGAGGTTGACAAGAGCAGGAATAACTCCAAGCTCAACAATGAAATGCTGAAGCTTTTTATCATAAGGAAGTGTGAACCTGATAAGAACTTTTGCTATGCTCTCAGCCAAGTTTGATGGTAAAGCTGTTAAAGCAATTAGTGAAACCAAATCGGGTAATAGGTTTTCGCTTATGAGAACATTTGGGAAATTGCTTAGGATTCCAACAGCAGAGGCCTTTTCATCACCAGACGACGATGATGAAGAGAAAATCTTGGCAATCATATGGATATGAGTTTCATCCAACTGTTCTGTCACCTCTCCTTGCATGTCCTCATACAAAATATGAATTAAGCTTAAGGCGCCAGTTCTAATCTTTGGGTTAGTTTCGCCAATGAATGGCAAGAGAAGCCGGATTGCGCCATTTTGCTTCATTTTTACTCTTACCTCATAAGCATTTGAATGTGAGGCGATACTGTTGAGAGCCTCTAAGAGATGGCATTGAATGTCTGGGCTAGTCAGGTTGAGGAGTGAAAGCATCTTTTGAGCAACATCTGGTTTGACTAGTAAACCCCCTTCTGATTGGGCTATTTTCGCAAGAATTGCAGATGCTGGTTCTCTTAGCATCATGAGGACCGACGTGACAGAGAAAAGAAGCTGAAGAAGGGTCGAAACGATCCCCGAGTTTACCAAACGCTTAACGTTCTCTTTCAAGCCAGACAGATTGTGAAGTGCACCCAGAGCTGAATGCTTAGACTCCAGATTCCCTTTGGTGAACATTTTGACTAGTTGTTCAATTGCTCCATCTTCCCCCAGCAAAGTTCTATGTTTATCGGTTAGCTCCATTCTTGATATGGTGGTTGCCATTTGGACCTTACTTGTATCAGAACCTGCCCAGGGAGAAATTTATGTTGAGATAGAATAATTTAAAGAAAAAATTGCTTAAATATTAAAATAAGTAATTAATTGGACAAAAAATGTCAATTTTTAAATGCAGTTAAAAAATGATAACAATGTAGTAACCAACAGCCAACGGGAAATGACCAATTATCAATAACACAGTTACTAACATGTAACTGGAATGTGATTGTTGGTGTCAAGTGTCCACATAAGATATTTAACGGATTTGTGGCTAATATGTTTATATGAGGTAAACCTTACTTCTACAGATCCATATGGGGGGAGCTACGCCTCATTCAACAGTTGTAACTCCGGTGGTAACGTTTCATCAAAAAAATGGAAAATGTGTAAATAAATGGAAATATTTAAGAAAATATCCCTAATGTAAATAAATAGAAAATGTGTAGTCTTGCCGAACTGTGATGCTACATGTCACAACAAAATGAAAAAAACTAACCTTCATTGAGGTAGTGCACTAGAGGCTTGAAGTAACCAGCTTCTGCCATGTTAAGAACGTACTCTGAATTGATTGCGAGGGAATTCAATAAGTTTTCAGCATCGTGAGAAGCCACTGGGTCATCACCATTGAAAATGGCGACCAGCATAACAACACAGCCCCGGATTCTCCCAAGTCTTCTTCTAACAGAAAGAATATCAGAAAGAGTATATAGCAACCTCATTGCCTCTCTCTGCTCGTTCATGTCCCCAAACAATGACTTCACAAGTGAGGACAAAAATCTCATCTCAGCCATCTTTTTCTGCAAACCATCCAGGTTTTTAAAATATTGGACTAATCTCACATCAGCTTGACAAGAGTGTTACGATTAACTTTACAATTAAAAGTTAGATTCTGCCCAGAAAGATTAAACTGATAAGATGACTAATTCCATTTCAAAATAAAATAAAAAATTGTTTGCATTTTACATGCTTATTAAGATAATGTTTGATAAGGAAAAGTATGAATGAGCTTTAGAGAAGTAAAATGACAACAAACTCATTTTTTGCTTTACCAATATTTTTTGAGACCAACCGAAAAGGAAAACAAGATAATTATTTTGGGATGGAAGAAGTAAAAATTAGTACTTTGGGATGACTTGGCATGCCCATTGGAGAAATTTAAAGTTTGTTTGGTCTTGAATTGGCAAAAAAGGTTAATAGGCTTTGTTAACATAGAAGGATTTGAATGTCTTTCTACAAAGTCAAGAGATTGGTAGAAACACTTCAGAATCCGTTTGATAGCACATGTTTTCGGCTTATCCGCCATACTAGACAACTTTTTTGACAAATAAGTAACTTTTGATTTCACACTCTGAATTATGTAATAATCAAAATAAATCAGACTAGAGTTACTTTTGATTGAATTTGGTGAATTTGTTGAAGCCGACCACTTTAGCTGCTTTTTTCATCTAAATTTTTCTTTATTTTATTAGTGAAATACAGAATATATTTTAAATATCATTTTTTTAAATTATGCAGGTGCTTCAACCAGAATTTCAACAATTTTAGCGCTTTTAGCTGATTCAGCTGGTTAATTGTGACTAAACGGGCTCTCAATGTTTGAATTATTTCACATGAGTTAAGCATGAGTGCTAGAATTAACTTTATGGTGGATAATAATAAAAATTACCTTAATGTCATTGTTCTGATCGACGAGGCTTCTCAGTGTGTGGATTATAGTCGATCGGTTGTTTGCAGTAGTTGAATTCAGCCGGTTGAATAGAACTGAGATAATCTCTTTGTCATTGTGATGAACATCAACAAAGCTCTCAGTGATCAACAAATTCAACCCCACAAGCGCCTGTTCCAAATCTTCATCATTACCATACTTGAGCTGCAACACAACACTATCAACATCAAGAGAGATCCTGTCCTGCTTTTCTTCATCTTCTTCTACAATTTCATTGGATAATAGTTCCAGATTATAATAGTCATAAGAGAAATCCGAGTCTCTTTCTGAATAAGAATTAGACCTTGAATTCATCACTTGTTTATGCAAAGCCTCAACCTCGGATCTCCTGGCTATTGGAACATCGTGGCTGGCAAACAGCACAAACCCTAATGACCTCCCGAGACTCTCCGTCTGCTCATCAATCTTCTTCAGTGGCGATGAATTTAGGGTTTCCGATAATGCCCTTGCGCTCATATACTCGGCTTCCAGCGACTGAATTGCCTTCTGGATTGTCAGATCGCCGACCAGATTCTTGTCGTCCTTCATTTCACTTAGGATTGGCCTCAGCTTCTCGATGAAAACAGAATACTCTGTTGTGATGTCTCTCCCGACAGAGCTCATCCCTTCATCGGATGCAACCTCATAAGCTGGTTTGCAAATTTCATCCATACGATAAGCCGCTTGATTCAGAGCCCCAAACTAACCAAAGAGACGAGAAAGACGAACATATAAAAAGGAGCAAAGGATGAGGTAAAGTGAAAGGAAAAAGCGAAAGCAGATTGATATCTATAATCCAGTGGATCGGATGGAATAATGCTAAAGTGAAAGACGGTTCCATGCAAGGGATCACTAACTCAGTAGTCATTCTTTGACTGCTTGCGTGTTTCTTGGGAGAAGAACAGAAAAAGTATCGCTCCACAATCAACATCAGAAATGCTATGAATTTTGGGGGAGACGATCCTTGAATTTTCGCGGTAATGGAACTCAACAATTTCCCTAACCTTTTGTTTTATTTTCTTCAAAAAAAAAACTCTTTGTTTTATTTTAGGGGAAAATTTAAAACCATACAACCATTTTTTATGTACACACCTTATACACACCATGTTTGTGAAGTTTTTGTTTTGTCTGTGAATCCGGTTCACAGATAATATTTTGTTTGTGCAAAACATTGTTTGTGAATAAATGTTCACAGACAAAAAAAGCTTTCACAGACATAAGTGTGTACAAAATTGTGTATAAAAATGTGTACAAACATCATTTTTGAATTTAAAATACCTCGAAAGGGTGCAAGACAAACACATTCATCTAAATTTAATTAATTCAATTTTTAATTAAAATTTACATATTCATAAACTGCATCAAAATCCCTTCAAAGTATTTGTGTGAATTTGCCCCTTGTTTTTTTATTTTAATAATGGTTATATTTTTCATATTCATTTTTCATAATTGTCGGTACTTGCAGATTTGCATTTGAATTATCTTCCATTTCCAATATAATGCATAATTTGCAAATTGATAGCAGTTCAAGAACAAATTAACTACTTCGTATTATATAGAGTAGTAGTTACCTTAAATAGGATTAAATGGATACATAATTATACAAATACTACTAAAATCCAAATTTTTCATAAATAGGGCTAGACATTGATTTTTTATCCTTAATACCCTAATCTAATATTAATAATTTATTAGTTTTAGTTTTTTATTAACTTAATATGTTTATTTTGTAAAAACTAAATATTATTTATTCACATTTATTTATTTTAGCAGTCAATAAGTGTTTAGTAGATGATATATATATATATATATATATATATATATATATATATATATATATATATATATATATATATATATATATATATATGTTCAGAGTAAATTCAAAAGATAAATAAAAAGAAAGTTAAGCTAAAAGGGTACAAATGAAAGAATATACTCGGTATGACACAATTACATGGAGTCGTGGAGAAACATATTATTAGGAGTATAAAGTAAAAACCAATCAAATGGAGAACCAAATAAAAAAAACGGCACAATGTTATTTTGGGAAATTAAAGTTCCTCAGATAGGATTAAAACAGTTTCAAAATTTTAAAATATGACTGTCATATTTTTTATTTCCAAAATAGGACTAATTACTGTCATGTTTAGAAAATACTGACATGTTTGAAGTATGGAACTGCCAAAACATGGCAGTAATTAGTCCTTTTTTGGGAATAAAAACATGACAGTCCTATTTTGGAATTTTCAAATTGTTTTAGTCCTATTTCGGATAATATCTTTGTTATTTTTTGGTTTCTTGAGATGAAGAAGTTGATTAAAAAGCTGGTCAAGTAATCAAATCAACGAAATTTAGTCAAACAAATCAAAAGTCTAAAAATGGTTGATAATTCATCAATCAAATATATCTCAACATAATTCCTTGAAAAAGTTAGGATTCAAGATATAAGAAAATATTTTTATATTTATATACCTTCTACAGCAATACATAAATAATTAAATTGTTGAATTAAAAAACAATTGTGTGCTCAATCTATAGACACTTAATTAATAAAAATGGAATGATAATTTTTAAAGTTTACGGGTATCATATAAGAAAGTTATTGAAATTGGTAACATATCAAATAATGTCAAAAATATACAACTAAACATCAAATAATGTTAAAAAACGTCTATGCTATTATTAGACCTCTCTCAGACAGATTTATATACTTAATAAAATTTAACGTGGGACTTAAAATTGATGCATAATAAACTTACTTTTCACCTTTGTAATTAAATAGAGCATGATTAAAAACTGTTTTCAACAAAAAATAAGTGGTTGTATTGAGGTCGCGCAATATTAGTCTTTTGACTGTTTTCAACAAATTATTACAACTTTTAATTTGATTAGCTTCCTTTACTCCTTTTGACATCTTTTTTTTAGCAAAGCTTCTAACATTTTGTTCAAAGTTAAAGTCAACCTCTTTCTATTAAACAAGGTCTTTAGGACACCGGCCGGTATCGTTAATTACAAAATCACTCTATTTTACTTTACTAATGTATGGATATGTCTCACAACTATTTTGTAAAACTATTTAACATTAGTTTGTAAAATACCCCTCTAAAGAAATAAGTGGTGGTGGTGATGACACAATCCTCATGTGACTGAATAAGGGAGTCATATATGGCTCCTTTATTTATTTTTTTGATAATATTCATGTAATGAACAAAAATGAAATAGTTTGTGTGATGTAAAATATGATTTCACTTTCTCACATACACATTGATTGTCTTTTGATCATTTTTAAACAAAATATTTCAACTTTTGTTTTTATCAGTGTCCTTTATTCCTTTTTATGTCTATTAAACATGGTCTATAGAGCACAAATACAATTAGTTACAAAGCCGTTATATTTTATTTTATGAATGTATATATGTTGCACAATTTTTTGAAACAATATTAATTATGTTTTTGAAATATCCTCTCTAAGAGAGTTTATGTACTCAACAAAAAGAAGATAGTCTCTGTGATATAAGATATGATGTCACTTTTAGAGTTGTAAACGAAACAAATAATTTATGCTTGATTCGCGATTCTAGTACGTATAAGGCTATTCGAATTCTAAAAATTCAAATATAAATAATAATAATAATAATAATAATAAATTTGATTCGAATTGTTATCAAATATGAATAAGAATATCAGTGTATGTGATTCGAATGTTAATCAAATATATTGGATAAATAATAGTGTGTTGTAGGGAGAATTGTGTGTGTAATTTCATTATCAAATATCCTATAAATAGGGATACATTAGGGTTTACAAGGATGGGTCAGTAGGCCCATAATACTGAGTTTGAACAGAATGATCCTCATACATATTTTAAATACACGATAGCACAATGCATATAATTTCCTTCAACACACCCCTTGTGCTGAGTTGTATATGTAAATTGGTATCTGTCTTGTTGACTCGTCAAAACCTCGCCAAGTAACAAAAAAACCTTGTGGGGAAAAATAACATTGACCAGAGGAAAAAAATACAACATTATGATAAACTTCTTTCGTTAAGCCTATCCTTATTTGATCATTGCTTCAATCAATAAAGTATATATGTATCGTTAAAGGAAGAGAATGTAACGTAATCTAGACGGGAGACTCCCCTCACGCCTACACTATGGGTCAGTAGGCCCATAATACTGATCGAGTTTGCACAGAATGATTCTAATACATATTCTATATACACAATAATACATTACATAAAATTTCCTTCAACATAGTGATAATAATAATATTATTAATAATAATAGTGATAACATTATTATAATTATTACGGAGTAAAAGATGGCTATACCCACAGAGTGTAGCCCATGTATACATTTACGTATACAAATTCCAAACCTATTTGTAATAAATCAAAAGTATCATACGAAGTTAGAGTTGTAAATGAAGCAAATAATTTTAATTCGATTAATGATTTGGATTCAAAAATTATGATTTAAATTTGAAAATATATAATATAAACACAAATACAAATCAGTTTTTTGGTTCAAAAATCTTTCAAATACGAATACAAATAACTATGTATTTGATTCAAAGAATAATCAAATATATCCGTTTATACATATACAAAATCAACTACCTAATATGCATGTGTGTGCATCAACTATCCACTATGTGTATGTTTGGCACAACTAGTTGAAAAGATATTTTTATAAGTTTTTTAGAAACTGTTATTTTTTGTGACTGAAAAGATCTTAAAATAAAAGGATAGTAGTTGTTTGATAAAAAGATGATTGTTTGATTTATTTCTGTTTGGTATACAAGTGACTAATTAATGCTAGAAGCACCAGAGTTATCTGAGATGCTACTCACTGTAGCATCTCAAAAAGGATCTTTTATTCTTATAAAAGATCTTAAAAATTGACATGCAAAACATATAACTAGAAGCTTTTAGAGACTTTTTAAATAGTACAAAAGCTAGAAGGCAGGGACTTATGCTTGCCAAACATAGTCTATATGTGTGTGTAGTTTAAATTATATTCTGTATATCTAATGGTTTTTATTAGCGACAATGCTAAAAATATCTAATATAAAATTAGAGTCGTTTCACTTTGGTATATACAATTATCAACTTATTTCACACATTATAAGTATAAATGATAATATGTGTGTTGATGTTTATTTCAAAATGTTTGAAATAGATGTATATTTAAAAATCATAAAATTGATTCATTGTTATATAATGTATATGGATGTCCATTATACTATCTGGCATGTATGCATTATAAGGGTTCAATCTGTAATACCTCATATATACATGTCTTGTTGTTTGGGTAATCGTATGTTATTACTTTTATATACAAGTACTTTAACCTCAGTCAAACTCTTATTAAATGTCTAACTCTCTTTACTTATCTCTTGGTGCGTTAGTCATATAGATTCATGAAAAGTAAGTACTTAGTGAATTTTTGCAAACACGTTAGTTTATATTACACAATGCCTGAAGCATGTATATATTGTGGCATAGAGCCCGGTATATATTAACTTTTGAGAGAGTCATACACTTTAGAAATTTAACCATGTTTTAAGGATAATAAATTTTGGAAGCACAAATAGTATTTATAAGTAAGTTGTGGACATAAATAATAATGATAAAATCTCAAACATTGATTATAAACTCAAAAAAACTACTCAAACACTGCGAAGTAGTCATCTGAATAGTGATAGTTTGAGACCATACAAAGGCAGTGTAAATTGTGCTTCTATAATATCTGCCAGTAGCAGAATTCTTCTCATATTATACTATATGTACTTGAATAATATAAATATGTGTTGCATGAGGTTAAAGATTTTTGAATAAATTACCAATTTAAGGTCAATCCAAGTTTTAACCAAATGTCATATAAGACATTCAGTATATAAATACTTTTTAGATAAAAAATGGACAAGGCTGACTATTCTCCCAATATTTCAAAAGTGGATCCATGGGAGTTAAGTGAATTTGAAGTTTCACAATGTGGGTTGATAAT